GTTTTCATTGACAATTGGTGACATTCGCAATCAAATGGGAGAATAATTAATATGGAGGAAATCAACACAATCCACTTTGGGCATATTTCAGAACAAATTTTGAGTACAATTACAAGGAGAATTGCCATGATGTTATTTATTTATGTTCCTCTATTCGTATGTCGTGTGTCGGTTGGAGAAAAAATAGTTTTCTGGCCCGAACCTATTCTTTTTCAAATGTTCATCGGACGCCATAATTGTGGTTGCAATAAATTTGTTCCTATTGGATCCTGTGAACAATTGCTTATTATTTGAACGTCAGGTAACGTTCATTTCATTGGAAGATAAAAGTAGCAGCTGTTCCCTTTGGAAACCATGACGCAACACCCATGATGATGCGGATGCAATGCCTATTGAATATTATGTAGAATGATGAGACAAGCGCCTTCTCGGCCGTCTTGATGATCCGTTGCTAAACTGATTTAGTTGTACAGGGTGGTTCATGATTAATTGTACCCAGATCAATTGTAGGATCCTGACATCAAAATATTACCAATTGTACCCAGATCAATTGTAGGATCCTGACATCAAAATATTACCATTGGCCTAATATGGTCTCAATAAAATGTTGATGGTTAACAATATACAAGGTGGTGAAGTTGAAATATCCAGTTGATTATTTTGGGATATTACCGCTTCACTGAAACAGGTATAGATGTAGATAGCATATATGAAACACCCTTTGGTGGAGTGAGACAAAATTAACACATTGAAAAACTGCAATCAACAAAATGTTCTTCAATGTCAGTGATTATTTTGGGATACAAGAGTATCCGCTTCACTGAATCTTATAACTTATTGAACATAAAATCGCTGGAGTGAAAAGACAAAACAATAATTTCCGTGAGCATTTGAAGCACCCCTTCGTGGAGTGAGACAAAATCAACATGATGAAAAATCTCAATTAGCAAAATTTTCTTCAATATCATTGTGACAAATTCGGCACGTTGAATGGGTGCAAACATATTTTGATTGACAACCAAATCATGCTCCTGAGACGTGAGGTAAATTTCGGGTAAATTGGTAGAACTAATAGGTTGGATAGTTTTCCACTGTTTGCTAACATAGAGTACATAATTTTGTCATAAAATTTCCGAGAAAACAGGCGTTAGCCGACAGAGGTTTGAACTTTGACATAGACCCCATAAGCTCTAGTGATACTAACTCGTGAGAATGAAATGGAAGCCCTCACTCAAAAGCTTCATGAAATATGTCAACCTCACTAACCTGTGGATTATTAATCATCAACGTTTCACTTAGGTTATCTTTGGCAGTCGACATATTATTTCTGATGATTGGATTCTATAGTATATATGTGTACAATTCAGTATGAATCTTTCTGTATTTATTTCTTGAAATGAGAAACGCAGGTGAGTATGCGCTTCTACTGCTTAATTACATCATCATCACATCCTCTGGGATGGAAAAGTATACCGAGCAAAAATCCAGTGTTGTGAATAGTGGGGTGGCACAGCTGTCCAATCTCTTGAAAATTTGCATTATGGCAGACCTAACTACAATTATGAAGCAAATAGAGACAAATATTCCGAAATGTTCAGGATGACTGGGATACAGATTCACATACATATAATTTTAAAATCGAATCGAATTTCTTCAAAACAACCACTTGTGTTGTTCTGGTTGTGAAAATTCCACAAGTATACGAAATGCACGGACATATGAAATATTATATAGGTTGCCCCAAGAGTTACAACCTTACAAAATAAAGAGTAAATTGGGTAAAATGATCTTGATGTCAACGCAGTATCAACTGAAAATATATTTGAATAATAATATGTACCTGCCCTATATTCCATCCTTATCCTTATCTTGATTTCTATGATTCCGACACGTACTCGTTCTGAACATTTCCATGCCAAATGTTTTCCAACGAGTTTGAAAATTAAATTTTCAATTACGTACACTCCAAAGAATCACAGGTTTTCAAAAAGATATGCTTTCCTAATTTGGAGCATCCTCCGATCTTCGCCGAATTAGTTTAGAAAGAAAAATTGGATCTACATATCAAGGACATCCAACGACAAATTGATTTTCATGTAAGAGCAAACTCCTAAACTAATTTCACCAAATTCTCCCATTCGGAACCCCAAGACTGAACTGATCAAAATGAAACTGAACGTGATGAAATTGAATCATATTTTAGAAGAGGATCAGATCAGTCCGTCCACTTCGTTCAAAGATTTTTCATTCAGGAATAACCCAATGTGCCTAGTTTCTTCTAGAATTCAATTTCGATGAACGGACAAATCTGAGAAAACTTGACAACTCAACAATGATGAAGAACATCTCGGTTCTTCTAGTTCGCTTCGATCTACCTACTACCAAGCGGAAGGTGAAGGAAATGATCGTGATTCGCAAGAACACATTTTAACTGATTCAATTCAGTTCTAGTGAAGTATTTCAGTTGTTTCATCATCTTTGTAATCTCAGTTTGAAGTATGAATTCATCAAGACTGGCCGATTTAAATGTCAGGGATGACTGATATTGCTACCGCGTTTTTTTATGTTCTGGTTCCCACGAAAAGGGATATCCTGTAATGTTCAGAGAACATCGTGAGAACCAAGGGAAATGAGGTTGGAATTGGTGTTCTTCTTGAATTTCTGGAGGTTATATGCCTCGGGGAACACCTCACTTGGCAATGTGTTCCAGAGCCTCGCTGTTCGTTGGATGAACGAGTCTTGGAAAAAAGAGGTTCTGCAGGTCTCCAAAGTGACCACGAAGGGGTGCGAAGCCTCAACTCGACGGGTTAATCTCGAGGGGACTGCCAAGGGAGGAACAGTTGTTGATATTTCAGAAGAGCATCGTCCATGAGAATATCTATAAAATAGATCCAGATCGCCAACTTTATTAAGGTGTTCCAGAGAAGTGAGTGAGTTTGTGAGCGAGGCATCCCCCACGAGACAAGTTGGCCTTTTTTGGACAGAATCCAACAGTTTCAGTGTATGTTTGGGTACTGCACTCCAAATATGGGAACAGTATTCCAGGACAGGTCGGATCTGTGCCTTATAGATCATAAGCAGCTGACTGGAAGTGAAATAGCTCCTGGCCCGGAACAGAAAACCAAGTTTTTGAGATGCACTTTTAGCAATTCATCTCACGTGATTTTCCCAAGAAAGGTTATTGCTGATAGTAATACCAAGCATCGAAATGGATGTCTTCAAAGGTATGGTTACTCCTCACAAGCTCATGTTGGGTACAGTGAGATCGGCTTTTCTATAGAGAAAAGGCATGCTTGTGTTTTGGTGACAGATGACCTCTGACCTCTGGATACGAACCATCAACTTCACACTCAATTAACTTGGCTCCCGTTTGCAAAAACCTAACTCACCAAGTGCCCAGTGGCAACCCAGTGACGACACACGTATTGGTTGTTACCCTGACTTCTCCAAGAAAACGCACCACCAAAAATAGCCAAACGTTTAGGAAACATTTTCATCTAAACTACTTTTCCGAGTTGGACTTTTTTTGTTTTGAATGACAGGTTATTTCCTTCTGGATATTGGTGTGCAAACTGTATCCGTATAAAAACCTCTTTTTTATACACACCGGGTGTAGCAATTACAACGTGTTATTTTCATGAAATTTGTAATACCCTGTGGAGTGTAATTGTTACACTATCTAGTTAGAATTGAAATCTGCCTCTTTTTTTTTTCAACCTTAATTTGTTCTTTGGATTCACTCCATATTACTCGAGAAACACTATTTCAGAGCGTGCACGGAAAAAAAGGAATTATTGAATCAAGAAAAATTTAATTGAATAACAAGTTGATACACTATTGAACATATTGATTCAATCAAATATTTAGTTGATTATTATTTTGGATCAACATCATTTGTTTCTGGGAAAACCATATATTTTGTTGATGGAATTGATATTATACTGTTGATTCAATTAGACTACATTCTTGATTTGAACAAGCTGCTTCCATGGAATAATCATGTATCTGGTTGATTCAACAAAAATTTGCTCAGTCCAACAAAAATAACTGAAGCATAAATAATTTGTTGATGCAACAAATCCTTTTTTTTCGTGTAACATAATTTTATGGAAAATGAATATCCAAATTAGACAACGAAGAAACGGAACTGAATGCGAAGTCACAAGTTAGTTGAAAGGGTCAGTAGCGAGTATCTCTGCCGCGGGCAGGAATAACTTCTTGGCAAAGATGTCCTTTTGATGTCATGTCGGTCCAAGTCATTCCAAAGTTGAATCATCAGTCTCTGCGTTGCGTTTTCTCAAGTATTCGAGTAACGTTCTTCTCGTGATCTCGTCTCAAGAATGTCCCAGAAATTCTCGATGGGATTTAAATCCGGGGTCCGAGCTAGCCATGCTATGATAGCGATACAAACTTCCTCTAGATAATTTTTGACAACTCGGGTGACGTGAAGCCTGGTATTACCATGCACCAACAAAAGTCCTTACACTATAAGTGGTTCAAATATCACCAATAAGTACCTTTCAGCTGTAAGGCTTCCAATTATGATCACAAGTTCCATGCGACCAGTCGAAAAAATGCCTTTCCAGACCACAGCATGCTACTTTCGTGCTTATAATGCCAATTGAATTCCATAAAATCATGTTATGCTATGAAATTGTGTTCCTTGAGAAACAGGAAAGATGATGAAGTAAATCTAAGGAAGGAATGTTGTAAAAAAAATAGATAAATTGTACTATCAATTTCAACTTGGTAACGTAACTGTTACACTCCACAGGGTATTACAAATTTCATGAAAAAAATACGCTACAATTGCTACACCCGGTATTCATGGAAAAGATGTTTTTTATGCGAATCAGTTTGCACGACAATATTCAGAAGAAAAATCGTCCAAATCGTATAGTATAGTTTCGACGAAAATGTATCTCAAACTTTTGGATACTTTTTGATGGATCGTTGATTTCTTGAGGAAGTGTATATTACCAGGAGTTTCATCTGTTCCAGATCACTGCTTCTAGATTTCCAGTTGTTCTGAAAATCGGCCACGCCCATGGAGGAATGGGGAAAGTCAAAGTCGACAACATAAACGACTTCCAAGATATGGCCAGCGTGGTGGCCGTAGCTAACACCTATTGCACCGTCGAGCCATACATCGACTCCAAGTACGACATACACGTCCAGAAAATCGGAACGAACTACAAGGCGTTCATGAGGAAATCCATTTCAGGTCAGATTATAGAATGATAATCGTTATTTATACACCAAGTATACACCAAGGTATAGTAAAGAATATATTATTTTTACTCAGGGACCAAGATTGAACATTTTTGGATTCTGATTCTTGTCTTCACTACAAATATATTGAAATAACACTTTTATATTATTCAGAGACAAGGAGAGAAAATAATAATAATGAATGCTTTTATTGTCTCAAATAAACAAACGGTCGAGTTCAACTCGCCGATAAATCGACAGTAGTTGTTCTTCCACTCAAAGAATCTAGGGAGATGTGAAGTATTTCGAAGGCAAAAAAACGAGAATGAGAGAACTTTAAATAAATATAAATTAATTGAAGAATATCTCGATGAGGTTGAAGAAATGTAAATATTCATTGATTGAGTAGTATTGATGATTTTCATCAAGCAAGTGAAACTGACTCATTTCTCAATTACGCGAAATCATTCAGAGAGTTCCTGATTCATTTCAATATATTCATCTTGAACCATTCAAAAACTATCACTCGAAACAGCTAATGAGAAAAGGTGAGTTCCCAATCCAGTATCCTAGTGGGATACTTATGTACTAGTACTAGTATACAGTCTGTCCAAGATAAGGTTGAACAGCATGGGATCTCGAAAACGGTAAGAGATACGAAGTCGGTTAAAAGAGGAAAAAGTTGCGCATTCGGAGGCTCAATTCAAGAGCCTTCGAATATTTTCAAAATTACTTTTAGTTTTTTAGTTATATCGAAAAAAGTGAACTTTTGGAATATCTATTTTATTTGTTTTCTCCGATATTATTAGAGATACTGAGGAACTGAGAATATTTTTCCATAGCAACTTTTGAAGACGTTTAACGTGGTTATACCGATTTTTTTATGCGACGTTTCGTATCCGTAGAACCATCTTCAACTTTTGTTTCTTAAATACGGTCCTGATAATTTTTTCACAGATTCTGAAAGGTTTTTTTATTCTCAATTCAACCATGTATTATACAAGGTGATTCTAATGTGTTTCGACCTATTTCTATCCATCATCAATGTTTTTTCGAACTTCCAAAGGAAAAGTGCCATCAGTTCCATTTATTTCTGATCATTTAGTGTCAAACATTGATGAATTAGTTATTCAATACTGAAAAATGAATAAAAAATATTTCACTACATCATTTAATGCAGCGCTAAAATTGATGAATTCTTACAGGGTTACATTACTTCAACAACTTAACTTTGACAATACCTTCAGAAACATTCATAACTAATGTTCAAAATGATAACCATTATTTTCTGAACAAAGATATCCTCTTCTCACAGTTGCTTTTAAGACATTACTGAGCATTTCTGGGGTCATTCTATTGAATGCTTCGATGACACTGTCCCTTAGTTCTTCTTCATCATCAAAGCTATTTGCGTGTACAAAGTTTTTGATATATCCCCTGAAAAAAATCTAGATGTGTCAAATCAGGTGACCGCGCCGGCCAAGGAACTGCAGAATGGGTACCAATCCATTTTCCTGGATAAAAACGCACGAACTTCTCTGGAATTATGTACCGGAGCGCCATCTTGTTGAAACCAACAGTTCTGAACTTTCGCAATCGGTAAAACATCCAGAGCTTCCTCAAGATGATTCTCAAACAGATTTTTATAACGTTAGGAAGTCTGTGTTTCATGGTGAATAGAAGGACCAATAATTCGTGTGCCAAATATTGCAACCCACATATTAACACATTGATTGCCACGTCATACATATGTGAATGACACTACCACTTCCGTTTAGGCCGCGTCATACATATATGTATGACGACATATTTTTGTTGTGAGGCCGTGTCATACGAATATGAATGATAGCCAATGCAATTCAGATGGGGATATGAATGTGTGGCCTCCAAGGAAGTCACAGGCATATTTGGCCAGAGCAAATTTTGATAGATCGTGATGCAAGACAATAAAATACAAAAATCATATATGAAAAGGTTCATTCATCGTAAAAACAGTAAAACTAATATTACATAATAATGAAAAATAGTTGTTTACCTAACAAGTGCGGAAAGTGATACTATTCCGCATGTGTTAGGTACACTATTTTTTCTACTAGCGTGCGGAAAAATAAATTCCTCTTTTCCGCACTCATTTCACTGTGGAGAGTTTTTTCCGCACTAGTGCGGAAAAATGACTCTTTCAACACTGAAATGGGTGCGGAAAAGTGTTTTTTTTTTTCGCACGCTAGTAGAAAGAAAACAATCATCATATTCGTCATACATATTTGAATGACGTGGCCCAGCGTGGTGAAATAACTCTTTAGGCTAACATGGGAGGCCACGTCATTCATATATGAATGACATCGAAAAACAAACAAAATGGATGAAAAAAAAATCAATAATGACTTTTGAGGGTCAAACTTGATTTTTGGAAGTGAAAATTCATGAATGGAACTAAAATGTACCTTTGGCCCCGTGGGATAAACTCCAGATATGGGCTTGGCAATCAATGTGTAAAGCCGAAACGGTGTTGGTGTCTCGCTGTAATGTATTAATGTTCATTTTCTCGTGAACAATAATGTGTATTTTTTCTATCGAAGATACCATGATTAGTGACCATGCTTTCATCAGTCCAGATGATTGTTTGCGGGGAATCTGCAAAATTTCGACATTTCCTGGTATACCACTCACAGAGTGTCCTGCGCCTTTCGTCATCGCCTGGTTTTAGCGCTTGACATATTTTGAATTTGTATGGATGGAATTTTTGTTTCCGCAAAATGAAATGGGTTGTTGATTGAAACCAGTTGATGGGGTATTAGTGTGTTGACCAATTTTCCTCCAAAAAAAGTGGAACTGATGGCATTTTTCCTTTGGAGTTTCGAAAAAACATTGATGATGGTTAAAAATCGGTCGAAACACACATAAACCACCTTGTATGATACATGGTCGAATTCAGAATAAAAAAAACTTTCAGGATCTGTGAAAAAATTTTCAGGACCGTATTTGAAAAACGAAAGTTGATGATGGTTCTACGAATACGAAACGTCGCATAAAAAAATTGGTATCACCACGTTAAACGCCATCAAAAGTTGCTATGCAAAAATATTTTCAGTTTTTCTGTATCTCTAATAATAACGGAGAAAAAAAATAAAATAGATATTCCAAAAATTCACTTTTTTCGATATAACTAAAAAACTAAAAATAATTTTAAAAATTTTCGAAGGCTCTTAATATGATCCTCCGAATGCACAACTTTTTCCCCATTTAAACGACTTCGTATCTCCTACCGTTTTCGAGATCCCCATGCTGTTCAACCTTATCTTGGACAGACTGTATATACTAGTATCCTCTCCTATCCTAGTGAGCTACTTACTAATATATATACTAGAATAGAGCATTTAGTTTTAATCTTCTTCTGAAGATGCTAACGTAGTTAGCGAAACACGTGTCGAGGTGTAAAAAATCGGTTTGGTTAGTGGTTAGTGGTAAAGCAGTGTGGAATTCGCTATAACAGAACACTGATTTAAATTATAATCTGGTGGATTTTGTGAAAACGTTTCCGATTGAGCTTCTACTCAAGCCTAGAGATGGCTGATAAGCATATACATAGTGTAGTACGATTGATGGCTGAAAATAAAGGATAAGATTCCTTATATCATTTCGAGAAATAACATTTTCTTGATATATATGCTTTGAACCTCTTAACTTTCGACCTATATACGGTGTTAAAATTCAAAGAAAAAAATCGTTTTATACTCATCACTTCGATACTATTTCAAATATTTTCATGAAATGTGACATGACATACTAAGCTCCAATGGGCATTTTTCGATGCAGAAGATTTTTTAATATTTCCCCCAGAAGCGTACGTAAGGAAGGTTTCTTCGAGATTTTTTGAAAAAAATATTGAGCGTCCTTGATTTTTCCGAGAAAAAAAATTCTGAAATCCTCATATTTTTGCAACTAAAAAAAAATTGAAACAAATCTCATGCATTTGTGGCATATAACGAATCTATTTTAAACTAGGAGGCTAATGCCCTATTTTATATTTGAAATAATGACATTTGAGCGATTACGTTGCGGTACTATTTTGACAAGTATTCATGACTTGATATTTTTTACATTGTGAAAGTTTCTTCAAACAATAAAGAGAAAATAAAATGTGAACACCCTATAGTACGGAAGTTAAGAGGTTCAGGGAATATGTTCATATACACTTTTTTTCCTTTTCAGTCATCAATTTAATTACACCCTATATAGCCAGTTACCTCTAATAAGGTAGGCGCGGGTAATAAGGCCTGTCGGCTAATAAAGCCTAAATGATGAAAATGCAATTTAAAATTGTCGGTGTCGGTCAAGGTCACACTAACAGGTCGCTAACTATCATAGATGACGTCTGAAATCTGTCGCGATGTGTTTGGTCGCTAAGGGCGACCAGTGCGGTGTCATTCGTTAAGAGTAGTGGTCGTGTGGCTCGAATAATAAGAATTCGTCCAAACCAATCATACGTATTTTTTGAAATATTACACTTATTGATATAATTCTGCGTTATAGTTGTCTATTATGTCATGGTTCTGCGATCTTTGATGTTAGAATAATATATCAAGGTCCGAATAATGTTTTTTTCAGATTTCCTTCACACACGTTGTTGGAGGTTATTAAGGCCTACCAATAGAAGAATTAAAAAGACCTCAACCCCCAAAAGTAGAAGTGGTACTGAACAGAACCAGGCGAGTTGGTACTGTCATGTTTGTGAGGAGGAATAGCTGACATGATACAATGTTCTAAATGCATCAAGTGGTATCACGAAGAGTGCATCGGTTTGTCAGCGGATGATACAGATAATTTTGAGTGTCCTGAGGGTTGTTAAGCAAATAAATTTGTTGTTATTTTCAAGACCTCAGCATGATCAATGCATGATTATCAATTATCGATCTCACTTACCATATATTAGGAGCCTGTTTTTATTTTTTATGCATATTACAGTCATAGGCCTTATTATCCTACTATAGTATAATAAGGCCTACTGACAAG